AACACAAAAAGTCTGGGGGCTGATGGACACAGGAAAAAAAAAAAAAAGGCGGGGGGGGAAGAAAGAAAAATAACAAGACAAAGACCCTGGTGCACCGGCATGTCAAAAAGCTGGGCCAGTGAGCCACTTTGCTAACCCGGTGTGTGCAAATACACCTCTCCTATTTCTGAGGGTCAGATATGACTCACAAGGCCAAAGCCTTCTCCCCAGGTTTACCAGGATTTAGCCGTTTTGAAAACTGCACCCTGCTGCTGTGTTTTTTACCGAATGCCCAATCTCCTGGACATCAGCATGGTTACCCATATGTTGGAGACAGGCCTGGGCCGGTGCATCTCTGGAGGGGGTGGGCAAAATCCATCAGCTCCACCGAGGCTGCGCCACAGACCGCTGTTAGGGAGCAACACGCGGTGCCAACTGCAGCCCTGCTATGCCCACGCTGCTGCCCTGAAGTGCAACTGCAGGGGTTACAGGCCTTGATGACTTGCTTTCAGGTGCTTCCACGAGCTACTGTATGCAGTCAGGCAGCTGCGAAACATCAAAGCTTAACAAAAAATAAAACCTTTTCCCACAACACCACATTAAATCCAAGGCAAGAACCTTGAATTGAGCCCCAGTGATGCAGAGTTCAGTCCTCAGACTTCAAAATCCTTCTGTTCCTACAGAAAGATTAGTTGCACTTGTCCCAAGAACCCCATTTTTTCCCCTCAATACCATTCATCTGACAAGCAGAAAATCTGTCAGCACAGTTTGGGGTGCAGGGCTGAGGCTTCAGGACTGCCTTTCTGATTTGAAGGGCTCACAAAAATTACAAGCAGAGAATGCACAACCTCAAAACCTGTAAAACAATAGGTATGATTATAGGAATATAAACAGCACCATGAAGATGAGGGATGAAGGTGCAGGGGAGGCATGTTTAGAAATCCATGTTTTCCCACGTGTTTTACCAGGTGGCAGCCACTAAGCAATGTTTGGGGTGCTGGATCCACTAAGCCCTCTCAGCACCCCCTACAGCACAGCGTGGGTCAGACAGCAGCTGGCCCCGAATGCACTGGCAGAAAAGTGACACAGAGAAGCAGAGCTGTTTCTTTAAGTCTTACAAACAGCTGGAAAAGATCTTGTTTCATTCATTTCTGAAAGAGAAAAAAGTGCGATCATTTAGATGGAAAAATAAAAGCACTAGCAGATGAAAAAGATTTGTTCAGGCTATTGAACATCCATGTAATGAAGGTGATGGAGACTTGAATTGGAGATAGAGATGAGAAATTAGGCCTGCAACTCATTTTACCTGCCACCAACTTTGAAGAGGTCCTGAAAAACACTTTTGGCTTCCATCAGTCCCTTATCAGAGCTTGGCAAGGTGCATAATGTGAGCTGGAGGATGCCCAGGCTCACAGGCAGATATCGGCCTGTCTCAAACAGACAGTGATGTAGCAACTTCTTCCTCCTTCTCCTCTACTGGAGGATGTCATGAAAAATAAACAAGGAGAAGAGACATGATGAAGAATGACCCCATTTCCTTTTAGCAGCTTTCCATTCAAATCCTCTATGGCTCCAGAAATTAGCTGCCTGAGCACTACAGAAAGGAAAAATAGGCACAGTCTGGTGGATTTTTTCTTAAAAAGAAATACAAAATCTGAGTATTTACAGGCCACAATAAATTAATGGAGAAGACTGCAGTGGTAGATGGATATATTCTCCTTTTCACCTTCACTGTTTTAAACAAAACTCTGTGCCTACAGTGAAGAAGAAGTTTTGCATGGCTACCTTGAATTTAACTTTTGTGAAAGAGGCGGTGGATTTGGGATTTGCTTGTTTGTTTCTCTTATATAGCATCTCTTGAAATAAAATCGTATAGGATGCAATTCTGCCTTTTTGCTTTCATTGAACTTGCTGGGGGGGGGTGTGAAAAATCATAGGAATTAGAGGAACGAGTCTGACCCTGCTGAAATCAAACACCCGCCATGCCCAGCCTGTGGACGTTTTGAGAAACGGCTCCTCTTCTGAATCGCATTATCCCTGTCAGTCTTGGGTAGAAAATGATTTCCAGTCACTAGCCCACAGCAGACGATAATAACAAATGAAAAATAGCCAAGCTATTGTTTACACTAGATGCCAGAAATGAAGTATGAGGGAATTCTGCGGGCACAGCGCATCGGTGGGAGAAGCGAGGAGGAACGGCATCGCCCCTGCCCGCTCCGAGGCGGTGGCAGCACGCTGGGAACAGCTCATTTAGCAGACAGCTCTTTTTTACCAAGCTGGTAGCTGTGTGCCGAGCCTTTTGTACGAAGCAGGGTTTGCTCATGAAGAGAGGCAAACGACGAGTGTATTGAAATGACATAAATCCCATGTTGGCAGAGCTCGAAGCAATTTGAGCCTCCATGCAAAATTAGGCCTCATGACTGCACCTAGAGGCAAGCAGGTAATTGAAACATCAGTACATCTAGAAGAGACCATGTGAGTGCCAAAAAAAGGAGAATTTGGAGACAGGGAGAAAAATTTCCCATGGAACTAGTGCCTGGGCAGAAGTGACTGTTAACCAGATTGTGGATCCCAAGCCAGCTGCTCCTCAACGCCTTGCAAAGTAGATTGCACACAGTCTCACCACAGACAAGGGTCAGCAGCTCAACGGGGTGCTGTGTTTTGCAGTGTATATAAACACCTTCTCATATCCTCTCTGCACTCCAGCTGCAACAATATGTTCTTCCCTGCACCTTGTTGATAGCCTTGCCCAGCTACACGGCAAGCTTGCTCAGGCTGGAGATCCTTTCTGAGGTGTTTTCCTCAGGAAGAAGGGAAGTTCAGCAGCATGCATTTTGCCTCCACCACACATTTTTCCACAAGAAACTCCAGGCATTCAGCCACAAATAAGAAAGCATTTTGGTAAACTAGCTAAGTAGGGTTATCCCTTCTTTGTAGATAGGGAAACTGAGGCATGGAACTTGGAATCACAAGTTTTCAGCCTTAACAGTCACTGGTTTCCCATCGCTCGGTCCTGAGGTACTTTGGATACCACTGTGATCACTTCAACTGCTAAGGAAACAAATCTCTTTTCATACACCTTACTCACGCTGTGTCATTCAATTCCTCATCTGAGTGAGAGCGATTAGGTCGGCAGTTTCATCATTATCTTAAAGCAAAGCCAGGACTTCACCATCTTTCTTGAACATAAAACTCCATCATCTAGTTAGAAACATTTTCTGAGACTTCAGCGAGGCTTTTTACAAGACATGCTGTCTCTCAAGAAATGAGAGGACTGAAAGGTGAGCTTCCTACAGGGAACAGCTTTGTGCTCAGCTGTGGGGCATCAAGCGCTGCTCTGTATCAATGTGGGCATTTCTTAACACCAAATTTGATGATTTTTGAGCAGTTACTGAAGGACAATGAAGGTCTGCAGTTTGTACCTAGGAAAATGATAAGTGCCCAAAGAAGTGTTATTGAAATCTGGGTCTAATGGCAAGATTAATACTGTGAAAGGCTCTGCTGGAAGCTCAGGCAAGGTCATATTCCTCTCTACAGCTGCCAAAGATCTCCGGGTCTGTGGGACAAACATTGACCGTGAAATTATAAAACCCCTAAGACTGATTGATTCTGGCTGCTCAAGTTGTTTGTTTCTGGGTTTGTTTTGGTTAGGGTTTAACTATAGAATCACAGGAAACCATGAGAAGAGATGACAGTTTAGGCCTTATCTCTTTTCCATCACTGCTAATAGCAAACCTGTAATTGATTCTAAATGTCAGGGAAAAATCTTCAGCACACAGAGTAACAGATAGAATAAAGCCTCTTTATGTAGCTTATTGTCTGTGCATTGTTTTAAAAGATGCAATAAAAAGCTTCACTGGAAATATGTTCTTCAATAAAAATACAAATTTTCTCCAAACATATAGTTTGGTTGTGATCTTTTATTTTCCACAGGATGGGTAAAAAATATCAAAACAATTTTCAGCTAAACAGTAGTTGAGATGTTCAGAAACATCTGACAAAGCCATGCAAACATCTGAAACAAAAAAAGCTCTCATTTTTATGTCAAATGCTTGCCTTGTTAAGTTTTCACTTAAAAAAAAAAAAAAAAAAAAAGTCTAACATGCCTAGTGCTTTTGTAGGAAGTTTAAAGTTTTAGAAATTTCCCAGAGAAGCTACAGCTTCCGAGAGGAAGTTCTTGGCCAATTTTTTTCATGAAGTGAAGGAATGGCCCACTGGGATCTCACTGGTCCCACTGGTCCCCAGAGAAGCCCAAAGGGGATCCCCAGAGGAGCTGTGGGAGGGACGCGGTGCATATAAGACTTGCGCACACTCCTGAAACGCAGATTGGTACATCATTCAGCGATGGAGCCTTGCCTGAGGTACACCAAAAGGTGCCACCAGCTCAGCCAGCAAAGGAGTGAGCACAGAGGCTGGGTGCAGAGCCCTGAAGCTTGCTACGCTGGACATTTAAGGCAAGTCTAACTGTTTGTGATGAAGGAAAATCACAGACCTGTTCCTCTGAGCTCTAATGCAATCTGGACTGAACACCTGCTAAGGCTCACCCCAAAAGCGCTGGTGGACCCTTGTATGGATGGATCCAGGCACCCTCCTCACATCGACCAAAAGGCCAACTGCTCTCATTTTAGCATTTGAGTGGCCTCCCTGGTGAGTAGAGACATGAACCACACAGTTTCTTTGGGGATCAGTGACACTAGCTACAGGCTGCTTTTTCAGAGGTGTCAGAATTTTGTGTACCAGTCATTATACAAAAAACATATCTGCTACAGAGCCGTTGGTGCATCACCACAGGAGACAGGGAAGGAGCTGGCATGCATTTTGCTGGGAATAACAAAGGCTATTATAATCCTGCATTTCAAAATGACCCTTTAAAAAAATTTTTTTTGAAACTATGACTCAAACTCTAATAAATAAGATCTACTCCCATGCAGCTAGCCAAAGAGTTCAAGTTCCTTTGGCAAAGGGCATTAACCACAAAGCAAATAATGTTTGCTGCAAGAATGACAAGAAGGGAGACCTACCTTCATCTTTGTTTTTTGTTTACATGCTTCCATTAGTACCCAGGGAAGTTTAACTCTGGGCTGGGGGACATGGCATGGTCAAGTCCTCAGGTTCCAGCACTCCTCTGGCCATCCATCACCCTGCAACTTCTCCTCAGAAATTCAGTCCCGAGGCATTAAGCTGTCACAGCTCGCTAAGAAATTAGACTTGATGACACCTAAGCAGATTCATTAATGCATTAAACAAATGCAATCTGATTGGTTCCTTTTTTTAGTCGTTTGGCAAGCAGTGTGCAAACAAACCTGGAGGATGAGGCTCTCAGGGGAGGGCAGGCAGCTTGCCAGTGTTCTTGCTTAAACAGAGGGAAAGAAAGTACGTACCAGCTCCACAAAGACACACTAGAAGAATTTAAAACCTACTGCTGCTTCAAGACAGTAAAAGACAGAAGGTGACATCAGTTTCTTCTGCCTTTTGGAGAGATGATGCAGCTTCCATACATGTCATAGCATACAGGGCATTTCAGTTGTAAAGGCAATGTGGCACTAATCATGACCAAAACAAATCCCAAGGGACTAACTGTGCCTTGCATGTGGCCTGAATGACACAAACCACCTCTAGATTAATCTTCAGAATCATACAGGGAATATTCTCATCATCCATAACCACGTGGCTGCTGCCCATGCAAGCTGCACTGACTTACAACCTTTATTGATCACTGCTCTTCCATCCTAATAACACAGCCTAGCCAACAAGGCCACCAAACCAAACCAGTGTGAAGGGAGGCAGTTGCTGGCATCAGGCACGTATCTTCACTGTTAATCCTGTCACATCCCATAACATGCACCAGTTGTCACAGGTGGTGAGACTCAAACATCTGTCCTTCCCAGGATCTCACATTTCATTACTGATAAATACAGCTCTTAGCCCTGTAATTTGGTAGAGTTACAGTTTCGCAGGACACTTGAATACATTATGAAAGGCATATATTTGACTTGTTCATGCAGCTTCCCCATAGTACTTTCACCTTGGGCTATGATCTCATTAGACCTCACAAATTAAGCAGGACCAGGCTGGAAAGATACTTGGAGGAGAATCCTTAAGTGCAGCTGGACACAGGACATGCCATTCCGTAAGGAACACGCAATTCCATAAGAAACACACTTCTAGGAGATACTACTATGTGAAGAGTTTGGTAAGACATTTTGTGCATGACTGTAAAGTACGCCTTCATTGGTGGTGGGAGAAATCAGTAAAATCCACACCAGTATGGTCTATACATTAAGTATACCTACACTTAAGTGTAGGAATATTATCTATGTGATCTGATCAAATAGGATGTAGCTATTTGTAGTCTGCTCAAGTAAATTTCCCCTGAGGCACCCACCACATGCACTGCTACTCTTCGCTGCAAGGTGACTGTGAAGCTCCCACACGGCCGAGGATAACGCAGCGGGTCCCCACGTGGCACAAGTGGCCGTGGGCTGGGTCAGCGTGGGCGCCTGCCTTGCCCACAGCTGTCCTCTGCAGCAGTCTGCGGTAGGTGCTGGATGCAAAGTAAGATCAGGCAGGCACATGGTGGTACTTAACTTCCTCTTCAAGTTACTTTAATTTACTAGAACTAATGCTCTTGGTTATTTTTCTATAATAAACACAAACTCTGGTCTCATGGTTCTGGAGAACCTAGCAAAAACAAAATAACACACATGCAGCTCAGTGCTTATTCCTTCCTCCAACATCCAAGGAGTCTGCAGAGCCTGTCACTGCAACCGTCTCACTGTCATAGAGTAATTCCCAGTTCTCATCTAGGCTTTGCTGTTACAGATGGAAAGTCCTCATGTGCCACTTCTCCAGGAAAAGGCTACCTAGATTGCCACCAAAGCAAGTGAGGCAAATAGACTTCAGAACCCCTGCTGATAACTTCCTCGTTTTGTTTCCAAAATCTTTTGTTTCTTTCGACACCTATTTAATTCTACTGATGAATATTTAAAGAGATGAGATGCTTTGCTGAAGTTTTAACATAGCTGCTGGCTCAGGTATTAGCTGATAAAGCTCTCAAGTTTTAAAGCAAAACAGTATCTATTGACACAGATATTTGTTTAGAAAAACAAGCTTTGGTTGAAATGTTTGTGAATAGATTAGCTGATAAATATAGCTCATTTTGCTATCTACAAACTAATACTGACTTTTATGCAGAAATTGATTATCAGCAAATATTTTCCAAATAGCTCACAGAAGCAACATTCAGCTGAGTAATTATTCTTGGAATAATTCGCCACACTGCTGCCTCTGCGCTCGTGGCACATGCGCAAGTGGGTGCCCAAGCCATATGGCATTGTTTCTGCTTCCCAAGTAATTGAAGTGGGCAAAATACAGAAACAAAATGAACCCTAAATTACAGCTGCTTTTCAGTTTGAATTTTAGGCAAGCAGCTATACATACTAAAATTCTTGAATCTTTGCGATTTCTGACTATTTCACTGAACAAACTAGTAGCTAGGCCAAAAAAGTCCTGCAATGGCAATCACAACGCAGCTTCTCCCAGAAGATAACACAACATGACCATGCGTTTTGTTCACAAAAACATAAACCAACCTTTCTTTGACCCATTCAGCCTGCTCTGTTAGTTTTTCATCATAGGACTCTTAGTGAGTCTGAAGTTCTGGACAAAGCAGCCGTTTACCGCAAAAGAAGGTATAGCTGTGACAAAGTATAAGTTTTTCTGAGTGTGTCCTACTAGACAGACATTCAGGGGCTCTGCCACTGCTTGGATAACACTGGAGAACACACTTCTGTTTCCTGTGCCCCCAGTGTCTGGAAGGACACAAGACCACACGGTTCCACAGCCCCAAGCCCCGCACAAGCTTCCCCTGGCACCCAGTGCACCCCCTGCTATCTCCACAGGGAAATTCTTCTCCTCATGACCATGTCAGGGCACACAAACCCCAGACAGCTGAGTGTCTTTGCGATAGAGCTGAAGGAGTAAATAAACACCTACCCATTAGCAGCCAAGTCCTTGTTTCACCCAACTGAAGCATCACACATGTTACATGAAGATAAACCAGATCCTGACTCACCATATGACTGATCCACTGTACTTTGGGGAAGGGAGTGGGAGAAGAGCAAGAATCACCAGGCTGCAGTGTGGTTTTCCTGCTCATCACCAAACCTTTCCAACACATCTAACATACCAGCAGTCTCTTGACTAACAACTGCAAAGCCCCTAGACTCCCGTGTAGCACTTAAATAGTTAAATATATTTCCATGCAAAATCCCCTATCTCCTTTCTCTAAGTAGGAGTCAATGTCTTACCCTGTTTCACAACTGGTCATCACTTCATTTTTATTTTTTTTTAAGCTGTGTAATTAAGAGCTTATATAAAGTTGATTTAAAGAGAGTCTGCACTCTGGATGACTCCACTGAGAGCGAGGTAAAAGAGCCTTGACAGGTCGGGGTTGGGTTCATTTGCTTTGTTTCCCTGAATATCTGAAGTTTCAAGAAGGGGTCTTGGAGAGTGCAAAGAATCTGAACTGAGGTGTGACTGAAAACCAGATCTCTTGGGGACCTTCAGTTCTCATCTAATTCATAAATTTCCCAACAGCTCACATGAAGCACTCTGAAGCAGAGATAAGGGCTGGGTTTATGCCCTCCATTAGGTTGAAATATTGTATTTGCCCACAACAAGCTCTAGTGCCTTGCTCAGAAAATACTAAGCCCAGAACTGGCAGAGATGGGACTCTGGACAAGACAGATGAGCTGAGCTCCATCACCTGCCCATTCGCAGTCCTGAGTAAGCACACCTCATCTCTCACCTTTGTGAAACAGGCCAGTTAAGTTAGCTGTAGCTTTATTACTCTTGCAAACCTCTGCCTGATTTTCAACTAGCTGATTTCACAGCCCTTTGCAGCCACGTAATCAATAGCCTATTTATAAACACCTTCTCAAGCTTCTTCTCAACTTCTCTACACAGTGCTGGCAAGTGGTCGTCACACCTCCAAAACCAGGTGCACGCTCCACATGCAGAGCTGAGTGGATACACCTTTGTGTCTGAGCCATCTTTAGCAAAGCCATTTCAATAATCTATAGCCAGGGTGTTTCAGAGCGTTCGGCAAAGGTTTGTGAGTTTGGGTGCAAGTGCTAAGCACCCTGCAGAGGCTATCTGAGGGTTAATGGAGAACGGAGGAGTGAGCAGGAAACCACAGAGCCAGCTGAGGGGCGAGGACCACTGGTCAAGGAGGCAATTTCTTATTTTCAGTCACATGGACCCTCAGCTGTGGTAACCAGCCCTCTTGAACAGGTCTGGAAACTCTCTGAAGAGAGAGAGGAAGCAAAACCGAAGCAGTTCCTGAATATTCCCAAATTAATAGTACCTGTTTAGCACACAGTGCCCATGTGGAGTGGTCTCAGTGAGGAGAGGCTGGGGCTGCCCCGAGGAAAAAAACATGTTTAAGAAAGGGAGAAATACCACCAAGATGAAGAAGAGTGAGGAAGAGAGAAACAGCCCTGTGAGCACCGAGGTCAGAGGCGGCGGCGGAGCAGGGACTGCCCTGCAGGCCCCAGGGAGGAGGCCACGGTGGAGCAGGTACTCACACTCATCCCGTGGAGGACCCCGTGCCAGAGCAGGTAGGTATTTCCTGAAGCAAGCCATGGCCCACGGAGGACCTGTTGAAGGACTGCAGCCCGCAGAGAGTACCCACATTAGGGCAGGGGAAAGCGTGAGGAGGAAGGAGCAACAGAGCAGAGCTGTTGGGTGCTGACTGCAGCCCCCATCCCCCTGTGCCACCCCATCGAGAGCAACAGGGGAGGTCAAGGTGTCAGAAATGAGGGGGTGAAGTTCAGTCTGGGGCAAAGAGGAAGGGAAAGGTGCTGGTTTACTTTTGCCTTTGTTTCGTTTCTCACCATCCGAATCTCTTTTAATCGGCGATAAGTTAATTTCATTTTCCCCAAGTTGGGTCTGTCCTGCCATGATAGTAATTGGTATGTGATCCCCCTGCCTTTATCTCAGCCCATGAGCTTTTTACAGTCTTATTTGCTCCCCTGCTGTCCCATTGCAGAGGGGGACTGAGAGTGGCTGGGTGGGCAGCTGGTCAAGGTCAACCCACCACAGGTGACATCGCTACACTGGCACTGTACTGACAAGAGGAGATGAAAAACATAGGGTCTCCATGTAAG